CCATCCAGTCCAACCCCCTGCCAAGAAGCAGGAATATTGCATTCAAATCACCTGACAGATGGCCATCCAGCCTCTGTTTAAAAGCTTCCAAAGAAGGAGCCTCCACCACACTCTGGGGCAGAGAGTTCCACTGCTGAATGGCTCTCACAGTCAGGAAGTTCTTCCTCATGTTCAGATGGAATCTCCTTTCTTGTAGTTTGAAGCCATTGTTCTGCGTCCTAGTCTCCAGGAAGCAGAAAACAAGCTTGCTCCCTCCTCCCTGTGGCTTCCTCTCACATATTTATACATGCCTCATTGCCTGTAACAGAACTTATTCTCAGGTATGTATGTATGTGTGTGTGTGTGTGTATACACACACACACATACAAATAATAATAATAATAATAATAATAATAATAATAATAATACTTTATTTATACCCCGCCATCATCTCCCCAATGGGGACTCAGGGCAGCTTACATACACATACATACTTTATCTGTGTCCCGCCTTTCTGCCCAAGGGGACTCAAGGTAGATAATAACCACACACTCTGATCCATTTAAAGCAAAGCAAGTACAAAAATTTAAAAACAATTCAACAGTACTGTATGTATTACGTTAAAATACAATAAATACTTGACAATTAAAATGCATTTAAATCACACCCACAAGATCTCCAGTAGCATACCTCTTATTCTTCCCCAAATGCCAGCGGGCAGAGAAAGGTCTTGACCTCCTTGTGGAAGGCCAGCAGGTAAATAAATAAAAAAAATGCAGTCCACGTTTCCAATACAGACCTGATTTACAAAATATTAAAGCCCAGCTCTGCATTTTTAAATTGATACATTTAGAATACGATCCGCCATGCCACGCTAAGCAATACAGCATGCAGTTACTAGATCTGGGAAACCTGTCACTATTCATTTTCCTGGCATGTGTTTGAAGAAAAAATGTTAACGTCAAGGTGTCAAGGACATGAATGGTGATTTATCAAGGGGGAAAGTGTGTGTGTCTTTGAGCACAAGCAAGGGGAGGATAATGACTACACTATGCAAGTTGCCTACGGCAAAAATCTATACCAAAAGTCTGAGATTTATTTCTGCATTAATGAAAGTTATTAGCATTAATTGAGCCTTGCTCAAATTGGAATGATGAAGATATAGTTGCTGCAGAGGAGTGAAATTAATTTGTCTTGCATTCTGTAAGTCTTGAAAATACACTCAGACTGCATCTTCTGTACGAAGTGACCAGACCAGTTGATGGAAATTAGCACAGCTTCACTAAAATCCCTGGTTTTATATCCATGGAGGACCCTGATGCTTTGGGGCAATTTCCCAAATTATAGCTTTCCATCTTTTACTGAAGCAGAAAACAGTAGAGCTGAAAGGAACAAGCCACGTTGATTTGCTCCAATGCCCTCAACCAAGAAAGAAACTCTCCTCACAAAATGTCTGCTACGCTCAGCTGACTCTCTTCTAAGTTGCAGTAGTAATTAAACACTATTTATTAAATAGGAAAGAAACTCTAGCTTGTAATGAAACCACATTAGATGATGATGCTAATAAAAAGAATGTGTGGACCAAGGGGGTGAAGTAGTATAAAAATCTGTCTGGATCAAGCAACTATCTCACCTCTCCAAACAGCTCATACCATCCTTGTTTACATCATACGACAAACATACAACACAAATACTGCATGAATAACACTAATAATTCAAGGAATTTTGCTTACATGCTACATTTCAATGACAAATTAAAAAATGTTATATAGGGAGTTCATTGTCAGACAAGGATATATATGTTTTGCAAGTAATCTATTTTCCTTCCTAGAATGGAATTTTCTTAGAACTAAGGGTCTCAGCAATTAGCTTTCCAAACTAACAATCCAATGACTAATCTCAAAGATGCATAAGTGAAGGCTGTCATGAGCTACGACAAACAGATGTCTTTTACCACTTGAGGTAAAAAATATGAACACAAGTGAAAAATGAACCCTGTTACATCCCGAATAGATTACTGCAACACGCTCTATGTGGGGTTGCCTTTGAGGACTGTTTGAGACTGTTTGGAAACTTCAACTAGTGCAACGGGCAGCAGTTAGACTACTCACTGGAGCATCATACAGGTAGCGTACTACTCCTCTGTTATGTCAGCTCCACTGGCAGCCGATCCCATTCCGAGCACAATTCAAAGTGCTGGTCTTGACCTATAAAACCCTATACAGCTCCGGCCCAGTGTACCTGTCCGTACGTATCTCCTTCTACGTCCTGCCTAGGAATTTAAGATCTTCCGGAGAGGCCCTGCTCTCTGACCTGCCCTTGTCACAAATGAGACTGGTGGGAGACAGGGCCTTCTCGGTGGTGGCCCCTTGCCTGTGGAAATTCACTCCCCGGGGAAATTAGGTCATCTTCAACTTTGGGTAATCTTGCAGACTGACAAGGACAATGACGACAATAGCTATGGAAACGGATTGTGGCACAGCTGGCTGAGTATCAGCTGCATTACGATCACTCTGACCAAAAGGTCATGAGTTCGAAGCCAGCCCGAGTTGGAGTGGGTTTCCAACTAATTGTGTAGCCTGTTGTCGACCTTTGCAACACGAAAGACAGTTGCATCTGTCAAGTAGGAAAATTAGGTACCACCTTAAAGTGTGGGGAGGCTAAATTAACTAATTTATGAGGCCATAAAAAAGACTCCAGCAAAGCACTCCAGCAAAAAAGCATGCGGGGAATGTGGAAGTAATTCATCAGTGTCGCAGATGGACGATGAAAGCGACAGCTTCCTTGGCAGCCAGAAAAAGTTAAATAGCCTCTGTGTAAGTCTGTATATGTTGTATGTTAAAATTGCCATTGAATGTTTGCCATATATGTGTACACTGTAATCCGCCCTGAGTCCCCTGCGGGGTGAGAAGGGCGGAATATAAAAGCTATAAAATAAATAAATAAATAAATAAATAAGCTGAATGGAATCACTAATCACAGAACGTGGCGAGATGACAACCACCAAGCTGGCTTCTTTTCTAGTAGATTTTATTTTATTACCTCAATGTTTTTAACTATTTATAATTATTGTTTTGTTGGTATTCTATTGTGTTTAATTGTAGGCATCGAATAGGTGCCGACTGGAAGCTGCCCTGAGCCCCCCCCAGGGGGTTGAGAAGGGTGGGGTAAAAATACCCAAAATAAATAAATAATAAATAAATATAATCCACTTTAATCCCTAACCACCTTCATTTCCCATAAACAACAACCAGCGGTGCCTAACACGGTACCGCACAGAATGATAAATCTTATATTTTACAGCCACGATCCATGCAGGACATTTTGAAGCAAATATAATCTGGTTGATTACTGTCATTTTGCATCTTGCAATGGATCTCTCCAAAAGATGGAATGATACAGCCAATTGAATGGTTGGAATGTATTGAGACTAAGTTCAATGACCTCTAAAAAGATAAAGTCTAGTCATGTCCGACTCTGGCGGGTGGTGCTCATCTCCATTTCTAAGCTGAAGAGCCGGCGTTGTCCGTAGATGCCTCCAAGGTCATGTGGCTGGCATGACTGTGTGGAGCACCACTACCTTCCCGCCAAAGCGGAACCTATTGCTCTACTCACATTTGCATGTTTCTGAACTGCTAGGTTGGCAGAAGATGGGGCTAACAGCTGGAGCTCACCCTGCTCCCTGGATTCGAACCATCATCCTTATGGTCAGCTAGTTCAGCAGCTCAGTGGTTTAACCCACTGTGCCACCGGTCTTTACTCCTCGGAAAATGTAAATGGAATAATAGTCGAATCCATGATTAATTAATGATTAGGACAGATTGGGGCTGCATCTACGTAGTAGAATTAATACAACTTAACTACCATGGCTCAATGCTAGAAAATCATGAGGTTTGTAGTTTTATAAGGTCTGCCAAAGAGTACTGGCACCTCAACTAGCTACAATTCCCATGATTCCATATAACTGAGCCATGGCAGTTAAACTGCATTAATTCTACAGTACAGATGCAGTTATCACCTGACCCAATTTATTATCATTTATAGCATGCAACTTGAACACCCGGGAATGTCATGAACACACATTTCTGCATGAACCACCCCTCCTCAGCACATACACAAAGTAAGGGATAAAAAGTGATAAAAATAGCAAAATGTAGAATCAGCATATCTTACCATCACTTGGGAGCTTAGATATTTTGCTAAGCATTGTTTGTATATTTCCCCAGTGTGGGAACTACACTTTTGCTTTGTTTCTAAAAAAATTAACAGTTCCAGCTTTGTCTCACCCCATGCATCTTCATGTTTAAAATTGTCATATTGAGTGATCTCGTAATATTAGCCTCACAGGAATCCTTTAACTCGTGCCAATAAATTTTGATCAAAGTCTGCTCTTACAAAAGAGAGGGCTACCTGTGGGGTTTGGGGAATTAGCTCAAACTACAAACGTCTGAAAAGAGGGCAAAGAAAGCAGACAAAAATCTTCACTGTATGACTTGAGAAGCCCAGTTTACTCTTTAAGAGGAAAACCTGGAGTCTCCTTCTTGTCCAAAGTGTGTGTGTGTGTGTGTGTGTGTATTTAAAAACCGTCTCTCTTGCCTTAATAGAAAACACCAGGTACTTCAACACTGCTGCTTTTTTTCCCCCTTGTCAGGAGCAACTTGAGAAATTGCAAGTTGTTTCTGGTGTAAGAGAACTGGCCGTCTGCAAGGACGTTGCCCAAGGGATGCCTGGATGTTTTATCATCCTATGGGAGGCTTCTCTCATGTTCCCGCATGAAAAGCTGGAGCTGACAGACAGCAGCTCACCCCACTTCCTGGATTTGAACTGCCGACTTTCCGGTCAGCAGTTCTACCAGCACAAGGGTTTAACACACTGTGCCACTGGTGGCTCCAACACTACTGCTGTAAATAAATAATTTAACTACAGGGAAGATAACCACATACAGAACTATACAGTTATGTGAAAACATGTGTAAGAACTGTTTCTTCCAAGTGACAAAAAAGGATTGTGGTTTTACTTACCTCCTGAATAGCAACAGCTTCTAAACCCAGAGCATTCTGGATGGCAGTTGTTTCTCAACATCTATAACGGGACCAGGCAGAAGGTATGGTTTCCAATATGTTGTGACTCCCAACAGTTTAAAAACTGCATGGGAAACTGCAAGTAAAAAAAGAATTCTCTGCCGTGACTGACTTTGTACTTTTCACTTCTCTCTTTCCTTCTTGTGTTCTTTGTCTATAGAATAACGTCTCCAACATGCTATTGCACCAATATATGTAGTAATTAAAGCATCAACTTGCATTTGTATAAATATGCAGGATCAGGGGAAGGGGCAGTAGGAAATGGGACTCATCCCCTGATTCACCGTTTTCAATTCAGCTCCTTTCCACTGATAATATTTTGTACTTGTCTCTGGCTGACTTCTTGTTTCAAGGGGAAAAAAAATCCCCAAACTAAGTCGTACTGTCTCGGGGTCTGTCTCCCACTGACCTAAGCACAACTAGGCTTCCATATCGAATATTTTCTTCTAAAATCTATATCCAGAAGGATAAGATCTCAATTCACAGTGGTTACCCAGGGAATGTGGGCAGCATGCTTTGTTTTCCTTCTCTCGTACAAACTTCAATTGTTCTCTCGTCAGCATGAGATAAGCACAATGATACACACTTGCACAGTTCCTGCTGGAAAGAGTGTCCTTCTCCAAATATGAAACAGCTTGGTACATTATCCCAAGGCTGCAATCTTAACCATACTTGCATGCTCAGACTTACTTCTAAGTAGACCTTTGAATAATAATAATAATAATAATAATAATAATAATAATAATAATAATTTATTTTTATACCCTGCCACTATCTCCCCAAAGGGACTCGGGGAAGCTTACATGGGGACAATCCAAAAATCACAGATAAAACAACAGCAATTACAATCAATCAATTAAAAAATATAACGCAGTTACAACAAACAACATCATAAAAAATAAAAACATCATAAAACCATATGATGGCTAAGTAAGAATTGGTGCTGGGTCCAGGCTCAAAAAGTGCAGTGCAATTCCTAAGTAGAGCCAGAGGGAAAGTTCAAAAATTCATGTTTATCAATCTAGAGGAAATACCTCTAGTCATAAGTGTCAAAGAGTTAATGGAGGTGGATAGTACTAAAGTGTAGGAACATAAATAAGGTTGGGACGATTCTCTGGTGAACTGCCTAAACAAAGGCACAGCAGAACATCCAAGTTTTTAACTCCTTACGGAAGGTGGATAGGGTGGGTACTTGTCTGATCTCCTTAGGAAGGGAGTTCCAGAGCTGTGGGGCCACAACCGATAAGGTCCTCTCCCTCGTTCCCACAAGCTGTGCCTGGGACGGCAGTGGAAGTGAGAGGAGAGCCTTAGGGTACAACCGGTTCATAGGGGATAATGAGATTACAAAGATAGGCAGGTCCCGAACTGTTTAGGGCTTTGTAGGTGATAACCTGCATCTTGAATTGGGACTGCAAACATATTGGATGCCAATGGAGCTGCTTAAACAGGGGGGTTGACTGCTCCCTGTAACTACTTCCCATTAGCTATCTGGCTGCGGATCTTTGGACCAACTAAAGTTTCCGGGTCATCTTCAAAGGCAGCCCCATGTAAAGTGTGTTACAGTAATGCAACATAGAGGTAAGCTTATATTGAAAACTGCAATGCTTTACAAAAATGACAGTGCAATTCTTTACAACTCTCTTAGGGAGCACCTTAAGAGAACTATTTTCACTGAGAACTATTTGATTTATCTTTCTAAGACATTTTTCATGACTAACTGATGTATGCACCCTGTTAGTGCAATCCTTTCACCAAAATGAATTGTGTTTAGAAATGTTGTAACGCAACTGGAAAGTTGTATTTTCTGAGAAAAACAAATTTGGAACTTTACAGAAATACACGCAGATCGAGTCATACAGGTCTATCTTTTGGACTACAAAAATGATTCAATTCTTCTTCAGAAGAGGAAAAAGTGACCAGTTTAATTAAGTAACTATGAAATAAATGATAACTCCTATTTACATTTTTTGCTTAGTTTCATAAAACCTAAGTGATAGGAAATAAGAACTGCCACAGATTTGTAGCACTATAAATTTTGCAGCTGCTCAGAAAGCTTTCCGCTTGGCTATGCATGCATCAGGAAAGCTATCAGGATTGAGGCCATATAGGAAGGACTCCCACACTTGGTATGTTTGGGATGACTGTACAGCATACAGTGGCCAAATGAGTCAATCATACTGTGTCTATTTATATATGTCTTTTAAGGAATGGGACACAAAGTACTATCCTGTAGTCCTGGACTTCTTAAACATTTCCATTCAGGACCCATTTCCACCAGAGAAATGTTTGTGTGACTTCAGAGATAGAGGCATATAAAATTTGCATCAAAATAAAATATTTACTAATGCCTTCCCCTCCGCACTCTGTTTGGGGAGATGGCGGCCCATCACTTTCCCGAGCAGAGAAGAGGAGGAAGAGAAGGAGGAGGAGACTGGACATTGCCGGAGAGCTCTCTGGTAGCTGCCTGCCTTTCCCTCTGCACTCTTCTCCACCTGAGGAGATGACAGCCCGCTGCTTTCCCAGCCGGAGAAGAGGAGGAGAAGAGACATGGATGGTGAGAGCTCCAAAAAGGTCTCACCAGCCATGTGTTAATACCTTGGCCCTCCTCTCAGCCTGGAGATGCGGGATGCCGCATCTGCATGATGAGGAAAGCCAAGGCAGACGAGGACCAGACTTGAGACCCCAAAGGGCCACGTCCGACTCACAGGCCTGGGTTTGCCTAGGCCTAATCTAGAGGCTGTTTTAGAAATTTACATTAATTCATTAGCAAGAATCCACAATGTTTACAGTGGATTTTGCAGAAAATGCTTTAGCTGTACTTTATAAAAGAAAAACCAGCCTATTTGGCAAATACTGCAAATGCTGATTTATTATCAGTAAATGTTTTTAATTTTTGACTATTTTATATGCTTATGTTACATAAAAAATTCTGAGGCAGAAAAGGGTCATGAGTGGAAAAGATTTAAGAAGCCCTTCCCTAGACCAGGGTTTATGAAACTATGTACTTCCAGATATTTTGGACTTCAGCTCCCATAATTTCTGGCTGTTGGCCAAGCTGGCTGGGGCTTCTGGGGGTTGGAGTCCAAAAGGCCTGGAAGACTAGAGTTTGAGAGCCCTTCCAGACTGGTCCTATATTCCAGGATCTGATCCGAGATTTCTGCTTTAAACTAGATTATATGAGTCCCCACTGCCAGATAATCTGGGGTAAACTGGGATCAGATCCTGGAATATAGGGTCTGTCTGGAAGGGCCCTGAAAATCACCGCTCCAGAACTTGGTACTCTGTCCAAAAACTCTCCGTCAGCATCTGTCAATCACTGAAAAGAGCCACCCCGGGTACTGCAGTGCTTACTAGTGGGGAAGGTAGACATAAGATGAAGCTAGGAAATCAGATCATTTTGGTTTATAGGGGGGAAGAAAATGGGAGTGTACTCACAAATGAAGTGCACCCTCCTAAAGTTCCCATGGCACAAACAGGATTCAGAGCAGTGTGTAATCTCCTCTGGTAAATGCATCTTACTTCATGAACATGCTTGTGTTTTTGATCATGCATTTTTGTGTGTAAGAAGGATGTCTATATTCCTTTGCTGTTCAAGTGTTTACTTAGTAAGACCCAGCTTATTTCACAAGAACTCAGGGCTGCATACCAATCAAAGCAATTTAAAATCCATTTATTTTTTCAGTGTGGGCTTACACCCAAGTGCACAATGAATTAGTTAACAATTCTAAGCATTTACAGCTAAGATGAAATCTCACTGACTAGAATGTGATTTGATATATGCCTTTCCTTGGAGTGTGGTAAATCTAGTGTTGCCAAGCTGAATATGGGATGGAGCTCCTGTAACTTCAGTGGGGATGGACAAAGAAACTATGTCAAACTGGATGCGCTTTATACCACTTTAAATATCATGGCTCAATGCTATGGAATTCTAGGAGTAGTAGATTTCCAAGGTCTGGGACCGTACCTCATGAAGTCTGACTTGGTCACGGTGGTCCACACCTTAGTTATCTCTAGATTGGACTATTGCAATGCACACTACATGGGGCTGCCCTTGAATACGACATGGAGACTTCAATTGGTCCAACGTTCAGCAGCCAGACTACTAACTGATTTGAATTACAGGGAGTGGTCTACCCCTGTTTAAGGAGCTCAATTGGCTGCCATTTATTTTCAGGTCCCAAGTCAAGGTGCAGGTTCTTACCTACAAAGCCCTGAATGGCTTGGGACCTGCCTACCTTCACATTTCCTTCTACGATCCTACATGATCCCTTCAATCTTCAGAGAGGACCTTCTCTCGCTCCTGCCCCCAACACAAGAGTGACTTGTGGGGACAACGAGAGGGCCTTCTCTGTGGTGGCCCCCCAGCTCTGGAACTCGCTCCCCAGAAAAATTAGGCAAGCCCCCATTCTGGTAGTCTTCAAGAGCCTGAAAACCTGGCTGCTCCGGTGTGCCTTCAATGAATGTACAACAATTCCTGACCTTGACCAAACCCTGCATAAAATGCCCTCAGATGCATTTAATTTTATCCTCTAATGCAATTAAACCCCATTGTTTGGTCCCATTTGATCCTCTTTCTAGATGCACTACATTGATCATCTCACCCAGTGTTTTTTAACCTTTTAATCTTTGCAACTGGCTCTGCCCATTGTGTTCAATTATTGTGATTTTATATTGCATTGTGACTTTACTTTGTATTTTTTTTGTATTTTTATTTTCATTACATTTTACTGCTGTATTTTAATGTTGTATATTTGCATTATTGTAATTGTTGGGCTTGGTCTCATGTAAACCACCCTGAGTCCCCTTGGAGAGATGGTGGCGGGATATAAAGAAAGTTTTATTATATTATTATTATTATTATTATTATTATTATTATTATTATTATTATTAGCCTTCTCTGCCAAAGAGTGATGGTTCCTCTCAAAACTACATCTCCCAGAATTTCACAGCCTTGTGATTCCATTATATTGAGCTAGGAAAGTTCAAGTGGTGTCAAACTCCATTAATTCTACAGTGTAGATGGAGGAAAGGAGGTGTCTGCAGTTCTGTTCTTGTCACCGTTACCTCTGTGTCACT